CAGGGCAAGTTAGCTGGAATATACTTGCCTAAAACCATCAAATACATTGGCAAAAGGCAGTGTGTCTCGTGTTCCTTCCATCCACAAATTTTTGCCTTTTAAAAATTGACCCAGGTTAGTCAGAGCATGAGCTCTGGCTTTAGATTTCACTTTAGCTGTTCCTCTTGCTGTTGGCTAGAGCAGTTTTCAAGGGGCAGACAGTAAGCTGCAGACTAGTAATAGTTCTGTTGCTTCCCTCCCTGCGCTCTTCTATTTGCATCTCACTGACACCAGCAGGCATGCCTTGTGCAGCACCTACTTTTGCAAGCCTGCTGGATGCCTGTTCTGTGGCCATCTATTTTCGAAAACAAATCAGGTATTTTGCTTTGAAAACTAAAGTGTAGCTTGCCAAGGCTAGCTTTTTTCAAGGACGGATTCAGACAGAAATGGTCTTTCTAAATTATAGGTTTAAAATTACCCTACCATTATAGAACTGTTTGGCACTTCTCCAGAAAACTGAAGACGTTTGGAACCTTTTCCACTGAAATGATAATTGCCCAATGAAAACAGGATTTGGGGAAACATAAACTGACATCAAGCTACTCCTTTTTGCTATAAATTATATTGACTCTGCACTATTGCAAAATTACTTTGGATGATTTGACCATGGAAGAATGTAGTGAAAGACTCCTATTACCACACTCACATGTGCAGGGAAATTGCAATGCATCCAAACAAATCTGAGCTTAGACAAGACTTTCCACTGACTTCAAACAACTCTGCTTTTCTTCCTCAGAGTTGCTCAGGCCTCTATTAAAATATCTTTAAGGTGCTTAACAACTAGGTGTTGCCCTTTGTGTGGCAGGATGGAAGTCACTTTTTCTTCTTCAACCAAATTTTCAATATTTGGTTTGTTTACTCCAAGCTGCCTTGAAAGCAATGAAGGACAGGAATGAAAAACTCCCAAGTCTGACTCTGAAAAAGAAATAGTTATTTATACAAGGTATCATTTTTCCCATGACACTCCCTGTTGCAGGATATGGTTGAGTTTACTAGTATACTAAAAATGATTTAGGAAGAAATTTAAGATGTGTATCAGCAAATGGATGGACACGTGTGGATAGGTAAACAGATGTACAGAGATTTGGGAGAACGCACTTAATGCCCAATGGATACTTTCTGTGAGCACTGGAAGTGCCTAAGTGAATCGAAAAAACAAATTTTCCCATGGACTGTGAGCGATTTCTTTGGTTGGCTCAGTTTGCCTACCTACTACAGGGTGGAAGGGGTTATATTTTCCTCTGTGGTGACACCTGAAGTCCCTCTGGGCTCTGAGCCCAGATGAGCCATTTGAAAACACTTTTTTTTCTGGGTGGCTTGTGTGCAGTCACTCAGCAAACCATTGGCAGGACCAAGAAAAGGGGCAGCCTTAGGGTGTTGGGTTGTGCCCTGGTAAGTGTATTAATAGCCTGCTGCAAGCATTCACAGAAAACAAAATGACTTAAATGGCAAGAGTAGGGGATCTTAGGTAATGATATATGGTCTAAGCAACCCAACCTAAAATGAAAACAAGAGCTAATTTCCATCCCTCTTACCTGAAATGAATTCTCTGTCCAGTCCCCACTTACAATATAAAGTCCCAAATGCATCTTAGACTGACTCTCGGTAAGTTTGAGATGCCTGTGGATCAGTAACACAAAGATTTTCCATGTATGCATTCAGTGACAGGTTGTCACTTCTAGTACCATTGAATCAGCTGAAATAGAGGGAAGATGACTGAGTATCTGTAGATGTGCGTGGCTGCCACATTATTTGCTGGGACATGGATCGCATCCAATGGAGCAGAGGGCTGAGTGCTCACTTCTAAACTGGGGCCCCTAGCTTGGTTCTTCCTTACCACTTTCTGCAAATGCAATGAAGGCTTGGTCTTACTGAGATCTTCAGAGTCTGGCTCTTTATTTTTCTAGTATTGCCAATAATCTTGGATGATACCTTCTGTGGAAGGAACATGTGTGGGGCCAGAAAACCACTGTTTGGGGTGGATTTTTTTTCAGTCCTTCAGCTCAGCAGCAAGCAGTTCACCTGAGCCCCTTCTCCTGAAGCGGGATCCTCGGGGCTCCATGGGTAG